TTTGAAATTGATTACCCTAGTGACCTACAGTACCTGTCAGTATGGCATCTCCTCAGAGCTGAACTCTAATTCTCTTTCATAAACAAATGAAAAACTGGTAGAATTAGTAAAATTAGGCACATTGGGAACACAGTCATTAAAAGGCTTCAGAATTAATATCCAGCTGAAAATTATCTATGACTTAAATGCCGTATATAGAATAGTAATCCTAATGGTACATTAGAGTCTGTAGTGTTCCAGCATTTTAAATTAATTGAAGGCAAACAAAAGCATCCAACTGATAGTAATGCACAGAATCGTACTTTCTTTTCTGTGGCTTTGATCTTACAAATCCTTAAGTAATGTAATTAATTTCATTTAGATGAGTAATTCTGTTGATGTTAATGGAGATAGAGTTAATCAAGTCTTGCAAGATCAGGGTCCATATCAGCCCTCAGAACCACTAAAAATAGCCCTCAGCAGCAGAATCTGTGTTAAACCCTTAGTTTTACTCTACCAAAGCGAGAGAGAGAGAGAAACAAACACTCTCTAGTAGAAAGGATCACAATAGATGCCAGCGCTTCAGAGCTCCCAGGGGCTCACAGAAATGTAAATTTCAAGAATGTTCTTACATGTCCTACTTTGAAAAGTGATCCCATTAAAAAAAAGAGGCATTGATTATGGGTTTGTCTTCCTTTTCTCTCTGCAGCTCCCTCAGATTTGCTCAGCTTAAATAAAGATAATTCTTCTCTTCCTCCATGAGCCCTGCAGTCAATGGATTCATTTCTTACATCCAACCTACCTTAAAAATTCCCTTTAGAGCTTCCATTCATTGTAATATTTTTCTTCGTTTCCCATAATAAATCAAAGCATAATGTGTCTGTTGAATATTAACAGCTGCTCTGTACTACCCTAGATGCATGTGTACATGGAAAGTACTTAGTCCCGTGTGTGCAGTTCCAATGAAGTCAAACAGAAGTTAAAGACTCTGCTTATGAGTTTAAAGTTGCATATGTGCTTAACAGAATGAAGAACACTGGCTGTAAAGTGCTTTGGGATCATTTTAGTGTGAAAGAAACATAGGCATTTTATTATAATAAAATGCTTTAAATAAAACAACAAATGTAGTAAAATTAACCATAGGAAGTAGGCTTACACATATATTATTTAAACCAAATGATTTACCCATTAGATCTAAAGCCTTTAATTGTCTTAAGAGTAGATATGTTAAGTGCTTATGTTGGCTGTTTTCTGATAATTAACCTGTCAAGAATTGAGTCATTTCCAAACCTACACATGTATTTGTTCTCCTAAGAAAACCATTATTTTGATTTTGTAAACTATTGTTTTGAGATTACTGATCAATGGGAATTGGATGGAAAAAAAACAGAAGCTTCGGAGATGGTTTGCTAAGATACCACATGAGATTTGAATGTTGAAATGAACAGGCTAGCCTGGCTTCCATTTAGGCTAAAATATTTGTAATTGATTGTATAATAAAGAATGCAGGAAACTTCAGGGATTCTCACATTTTCTTGCACCTGTTCTACCTACTCTTCAGCAAAAGGTGTATATAGTACAAAGTCTATATTGGTATCTTTAGCCATTACAGGAGATCATCAGTTAAGATTAAGTATCCTTACTGATTCATCATAGGAAACAGGGCTGGAAGGAGCCTTGTGGGCCAGCGGATCCAGTTTCCTGCATTTGCAGGTACCTGTTTCTCCAAAGATTCCCCCAAATTGCAGTTCAGATAGTCAGACATAGCTACAAGGCGCTATCTGCCTGATGACTGCAACTTCTGTGTAGCAATTTTCTGCCTGTGTTCTAAGACCTCACTTGCTTCCATTTTTGGTCCGGGCGCCACATACAGATTTCAAGAAAATACAGGCCTTTAACTGTGAGAAGTGGGGGGGATAAGATATCAAGAGATGCCATACTTCACTTTGAGGTATCATGAAAAGCAGGTCAGAGAGCAACAGGATGAAACAGTGATCCAAACCAAGTCAATGGCAAAATTCCCATTATGATGCAATCATTAACAACATGATGAAGCACATACTGTTTTTCATCACAGAACTTTTGCCTCATTAAGGGGACAAGATGGAAAATGATCACTTATGAGCAACTATTTAACATACTGTTTTTTCATGGAACAGTGTGCGCCCTATGCCTTATTTACTTGACACTATTCACACTAGCTCACAAAACAGAACTATTAGCTTCATTCTAGCTTTTGTACAGCATTCATCACTACAGTATCTAAATGCTTCTGAAGCATCAACGAATTTATTTTTAAAACACCCATGAGAGGGTGTATTGTCCCCATTCTACCATTAGGTTGGTGACCCACAGAGAGGTAAAAGTCAGAAGCATCTGTTAATTCTCAATGCCCAACCTGAGATGCTCACAACACTTTCAGAGTATTCAGCATTTAGTTCTTTACATGTTGAAAGCATGACTCCTATAGACACAAACTATGGGTACTTGGGACTTGTATAAAACAGACTCCAGTGTCTCAAGTCAAGCATTCAGAAAAGGAGACATGCTTAATTGGAGATCGCTGGCAAAATATTTAATACAAGTTATTTGCTTTCAATCACACAGTATCTCTGGCCACAGGTAGAATGGAATCCAGTTCTCCCTGGCGACATTCCAGTGCTTTAATCCAAAACTTTTTTTCCTTTTTATCCCTGAAGCACCACCCTCTTTCACTACACACCTTTCATCGCCAACGCCTGCAACCAACGAAGTACAGTTCTTACCAACCACAGTGGCCCTTGCTCCTACTCAGGCAGCATGGAGGAAGTAAAGAAAAATGGATGACAAGAATGCAGAGGGAATGAAGCCAGACCAGGATGAGGATGGCATAAATCTGTATAATGATTCTGGACTACTTGTCAGAGTCTTCTGCAGCCATGCTTATTACAGGCCTTCAACAGCTGCAACAGATAAAACAAGAGTCCTCTAGGGCGTGTGTAGATGACACAGGTGTTAATGTAGGGTGCCTGAAAATTTTAACATGGATTTTTGGGGGGGCAGTGCATTTTTGTTTGTACAACACAGCATTCGTGTTCACACAAACAGCGCTTTCGAGCGAGTTAAGCCTCACATGTCATTCCCCGCAGATTTCAGTAGGGGGAGTCAAATACCAACTTACCCCCTAGAATGTCTTTCCTAATGTATTACAGCAGGAGGCGCACGTAAACCACCCGGCCTCCCCAGTCCCCACCCCCCAGACTCTCACTGGGCAGTCCTGACCTTCACTGGGAGTCTCCCCTGGGCATGGTCACCCCAAAATCCTTGTCACTTACACCCGCCTACGCTCAGTTGGTCTGGTCTCTCTCCATCAGTACGTGACCCCAAAGACCCCATCCCAATCCCAATAACAAGCCACATGAATCCTCCCCTCCTTTTCCTTTCCCTTCCCATCCCACCATGTTACAAATATATGTGGGTTCTTTTTCCATTTACTATAGCTGCTATATCTGCTATGATATCCTAGAGTAGCAGGTGGGTGAGTAGGTGGGTGGGTGTTTGTTGCCACTGTTGATGTTGGTGGTGGTGATGTTGGTGGTGGGCTTTTTTTTTTTTTTTGGACTTGAGTTTCCCAGCATTCCCGAGCTCATTGATCTTCGTAGTTTCCAATGGGAGCTCCCACTGGAACCCTCCCATTCCCTGCCTAGGTACACCATCAATCTGTTTGTGTAGTGCCACATACGGCTTTTGGAGCCGTGTTGTGAATTGTTTTACAAATGTTTTTGGAATGTTTTTCAAAATGTGGGTTGCTGTTTGGCTTGGTCCCCGACCTGTCTAGCCCACCAAGAGCTATAATATAGTTATCCTTCCTTCTCACTCATGTGCAGGGGGGGCTCATTCAGATGTGGGCGACAGTGTGAAATGCCCCCTTCCCCCAAACCACTCACAGTCTGAAAGCAGCAAACCCCTAGCCCAGTCCAGATTTCCTCCCCCTTCCCCTGACCATCCTCCCTTCCACCTCCTGTCCACAACACCGCATGCCCTTGTAGACAGACACAGATTTAAAGTGTAAAAAAAAATGAATTTATTTTACAACAAAGCACTAGGTGGTGTTGTCAGCAATATATCCTGCTAGACAATCACACACAAGGGCCACCAACCAGCCTCTCCTTGATATCTCCTCAGTCTCTGTGCTGCTGCTGCTGCCCCACGTCTCTGTTGTCTGGCCACTGCCTGCTGTGCTTCTTCTTCCCATGACTCCTTGAAAACCTCTGTGGCTCTCACATATATTGTATTGGAGGGAGTACCCTCCATCATCCTTTCAGTCAGCCAAATGCACATTCCATGGCCATCCTGCAACTGCTCAGGCGGTAGTTAAAAACCAGCTTCTGCAGGTTGATGATACTCCCTCCATAAGGCTTTATGAGCCAGGGCTTTAGGGGGTAGGTAGCATCCGCTAATATAACTGTGGGGAATGGTGATACTGAGGATCACTGTTTGCTCCGTGCTAAAAGGTGTTACATGAAGGATAAAGAAACCATTGCATTGCAAAGAAAGCATTAAAAAAATCATTTTTGCATCACACCTCCCATAACAGTACAGCCTGCAAAGGAAAAAAAAAGCTGTTTTGAAGTTGCGGCAGCAGGCGTTAACTCAAACCCCCCTCCCCTCGGCGACCATGCATATGAAATGCATTATAATGCAGACTTACTGAAGTCCTTAAAGACTTGCTAAAGGCTAAGGGCCCTGGGAGGTCCATGCATGGAGAAGTTTTGCTGACTGCCTGCTTGCCGCTGGGGGGTGGGTGGGCTTGAATAGTCTTTTTTCTTACAAGACGTGCTGGCTGCACCACACCCTAGCTAGCACTCATCAAGCATTCCACCTCCCTCCTTCTAATAACAGTTCACCCTGCAACTCTGCAATTCTTTCCAGTAATGCCATGACTCCATAAACCCCCCAAGCACAGCATCCCTACCATGCTGAGGCGGGCGCGGTCTCTGAAAACCAACCCAGCCACCCACCTACACCAAAGAGCAAAAATATATAGAGCAAAAATAAAACTTTACTGAAAATGCTGCAGCTCAGAAGCTTAACTTAACAATATAAAACATATATACAAATGTAAAAAAAAAAAAGGGGGGTAGGTATTTTCAGTGCACTTCTCTATTCCTCATCACTGGGCTGTGGGCTGGTTGCTGTCCCTAGCGAGTTCCGTCCGCAGAAGTTTTCTGTGAGGAGGGGGGAAAAAGGAAGCAGAGGAAGAGGAGGGGGGTTAGCGCACAGTCAAAAAATGGACTTTTGCCCTCCCCCCCACCCCATCCACACAAAACACATGCACACAAAGTCAGTGGGACATATTACCTAAATATCACCCAGGACACTGCATATTCTGTCATTGTTGTCATGTCTGGCAGGCAGTGTCCTGCAGCCCTTGGACTTTTGGTCATGGCTCTGAAATGGAATGCGATGAAGTTCAGAAGGTTTGCAATATTGCAGTATTGAAGGAAGTCATGTAACCACTCACTCCAAAGTTTCAAACTACTTGCAAAAAACTTACCATTATGGGGATGCTGCAGCTGTTGCTGGGAGCTATGACCACTGCAGTGGCAGCATACGATGTGGGGCACAGGGGTCGCAGGTGGAGGGTACATGCAGGGGGGAAGGAGGACAAGAGGTACATAGGTGGGGGGGGAGGACATACACTATAGGTGGTGGGGGCACCAAATAATTAAGGTGTGTTAGAAAATTAAAGGATTACTTCTCTCCCTTACTTTAAAATACTAATAATAAGTCTAAGCAGACCCATCACGACCTGCCTGAATTGCGTGCTGTGAGGGAGGAGGGAGGAATGAAGGAGGCTAAAAAAGAACACACAGTGGCACCTACTGGCTAGAGGCCGGAGCACAGCGCCCCCTCGTGGCAAAGGGGATTAATTGGGAGTCTTTGGAGTCTGGCTGTTTGCACAAACAAAATCCACAGTTGGAGCGGTGTACCTGGAAAGCTACGCAAATTAAAACATCTCCAAGTAGTGTTAGTTTAAGGCACTAAATGGACTTTAAAGCCGTGGGAGACCCCAGGTTGTGCAAACACAAATGCAGTTGCATTGATGTAAACGGGAAAATTTGTTTTGTCTACACACACCCCGAGACACCAGCTGCATTTTCTACACAACCCTAATTCATCCCTAAAGCAGGTTTATCCCATGCACTAAATGAAGCACATGTGATCAAGTAATTAAAGGACATATCAAAATGGAAGCAATCCACAGAGTTCTGCCATTTGAGTGCAGAGAATAATTTATAGTAGTAGTGAGATTAAAACCCTTGACATGGGCCAGCAGTAGAGGAGAAGTCACCTTATATTTGCGTTAGGTATCACCAGGGGCTGAACCCAGGGGTGCAGCAGCTCAGCACTCCATGTATACCGCGAGGTCTCTGAGCTCACTAGCAAAGCACAGCAGCTCCTGCCAGAGTTTTATGTGTTGTGACCTCTGAGCTCAACAGCAGACTGGAGATCAGGCCAGAGTTTGTTTTCACACAACTCTGGCGCACAGGGGTTGAACACCACTGTCATTTGCTCTCCCTGCTTCCACCTCATCCTCTCCCAACTTCTCCACTGAAGTCAGCAGCAGGAGAGGAGTGGATGAGCAGCAGAGCTCAGCTCTTGGGATCCAAAGCTATGTGAAAACACAGGGCTGGAACTGCTCACCTCCTCTCTCTTCCTGGCTTCTAATGGTCCCATTCTCAATGCCTACCCAATCTCCATCTCTTAGCCTTATCATCCCAAGCCCTTGTTCCTTGCCCAGGCAGTCCTAGTCTCCCCATCCAGCATGCTATTTGGAGGTCAAATTTTCCATCCATGCACCCTCAGTTTCCCAGCCTCATTCTCAGAAACAACTGGACTGTTTTGCTCATCTTTTCCCACAAAATAACACACCAAGACAACATCCAGCATGTAAGATTTCAGCCCAGGATTAACATTTAGCAACAGTATAAGCAGCTGAAAACAATGTATAAGGGGAAGTATCAGGCAATCGTAATATTTATTTTACTGTCAGAGAATGGGGGGGAAACAGACTTCCTGTCTTCCCCCAACCATATAGGGGATTCTTTTTCTTTCCTATTATTTTTCCATACTCCTATTTCACTCTGCCTTCAGTTCTTTTTGTTTCTTCCTGTTCTTTTGGTCTTTTGTGTTCCTAACCAGCGTTTTACTATTGGTTTTGGGTGCATTTTACAAACATGTCATGCTTCAAAACAGCAAAAAACTAAGAGTCTGACACTTCTCCTCAGCAGAGAAGAAAGTCTTTGTGGCATTGTAAGAGTAAGTTCAATTATTCATGCAATATCTATTACTTGTGGTGTGTAATGGCAGTGATCCTATTTATTATTATTTTAAGGAAATAAATTAGCTTATGTTTTGACAGCTAAAATTAGCAGATACCCAAAGATTGTCAGAGACTATTTACTTTATCAGTAATATAGACTCCAGGGATATCTGGGGCCACTGCTTAAATTAATCTGCAGGCAACCTTAGAACCGGGAATATTTAAGTGACTAGAAATCCAGTTGCTTTTGAGGCTGGGAGGTTGCCACTGGGAAGGGATATTGGTCAGACAGGATTAGCAGAGGAGGCAATGGGTAGCCAGTTTTATTGCTACTGATAAGAACCGTAACATCCTGAGTTCAGAGCAAGAAAGGAAGGTAAAGGAACTTAAAAACATAGAAAAATAGGGCTTGAGGTGACCTCAGGAGGTCATCTAATCTAGCCTGCTCTCCCTCTCTCTAACTGCTCTTAAAAACTTCCACAACCTCTGTGGGTCACTGTTCCAACGCTTAAACACCCTCATAGGGAGAAAGTTCTTCCCAATATTCATCCTAGATTTTCCTTCCTGCAATTTGACACTATTACTCCTTGCCTCATCCCCTGAAGTCACAGAGAAGAGAATTGCTATTCTCTTGAAAACCACCCTTCAGGTATTTAATGACTGTTTATCCCACCCCTCATCCACCCCAGCCTTCTCTTTTCCAGCCTTTCCTTGTAAGTCATGTTTCCCAGGCCTCTAATCATTTTTACTGCTCTTTCCTAGATTCTAATGTATCTACAATCGTTCTCAAATTGCATGGCCCAAAAACTGGACACAGTACTCCAAGCGAAGCCTCACTACTGCTAAACAGAGGAGAGAATCACTTCCTTTAACTTGCAATTGACACTCCCATGAATACAAACCAATGTTACTGGCTTTTTTGTTTTTGCACAATAAGAGCATACTGTTGGCTCTCATTCAGCTTATAGTCCACTATAACCCCAGGTCCTTTTCTACAGTACTGCAGCCTAGCTAGTCATCAGAGATCTGGGGCAGAACATTTTCCAGTGCTTTATTTTTCCATGGGAAATTCTTCATTTCTAAAAATTCATTGTTTCATAAAATTCATTAGTAACAACAGATGCCAATACAATATTAGGCAAGCTTGGCAGTTTCAAAGTTGTAATTAATGTTTTTCAGGTGATTATCCCTAGGAAGTGTGTGAGAAAGTACATATATATGTTTTATTGATTTCTGAACAGGAGGGTAAATACACTCACATAATAATCCAAACCAAAAATCAAGTTATGAACTCACCTAATTGGCAATGCAGGTCAAATCAAAACCAAAGCTAAGATTCTTATTTCATCTCAGTGCCTTCATTTTTTTTCCTTAAATTTAAACAATGTAAGGGAAGTACATGCTATTGGGTATTATCTTTACATCTTTACAAGTGTTCCAATGAAAATAATTTCTTTCCACATAAAGCTTTGAATTTGTTTGAATATAACATTTAAACCACATTGTGTTGTATTTAATATTTTTCCTAATCAAATATTTCAGCTCAAATATTTGTGGCTATTGGGACACAGAATTAACATGGGGTACTTTTTCATTTTGTTTACTAAAGAAGTTAAATAAACATGCTAAATCAGATCGCGCTCTATTTAGGGCATTGGAAAATTTTCCAATTCAAAATTTTCTGAAAAACTCATATCTCTGCCAGTCGTTCCATCTTAAATGCAGGACTTTGAACTTATCCTTGTTGATTTCATTTGATTAATTTTGGTCTGTTTTTCCAGTTTATCCTAGTCATTCAGAGTTCTGAACTGTCTAGTATGTCAGTTCTACCCAAATCCATGTCATCTGCAAATTTCCTAAGTGTTCATTCAATTCCATCTTCCAAATCATTAATGAAACTATTAAACAATAACAGACCCAGGATAGATCTCTAGAGAACTCCACTCAGTACCTCATCCCAGATAGACGCTAAGCTATTGATGACTAGTCTTGATCTAACCAGTTTTTTATCCAATTCACTGTATTTCTATCTAGACGGTTCTTCTTTAGTTTACAAATGAAAATGTCAGAGGAGACAGTATCCAAAGCCTTGCTAAAGTCAAGATGTTATGAGGACTGTAGCCTTGAACACAGGGCCTTGACCTAAACAGCATAGCCATCCAACCCAATGCATCACCATGATGGTGCTCCCAAATGTTGGAGGCAGCCTGCCTAAAGCCTCCATCAGTACCTGAATCTCCACAGCTACTTCCTGTCACATGACCCTATACTTCTCTTACAAGTCCAGGGAGAGAAACAGGACGCATCTACTCATGCACTTTATTGAAGAGTAGACGGTCCACAGTAAAGTGTCACCATCTATATGTGCACCAATAGTAGGGCACAGTAAATTAACTAACTCCACTGTAAAACAGTGCTAGTGGGGACAGTACTATCTTACAGTGGAGTATTTACATGTGCTGAAATGCATGTGTAGATAGTGACAGAGGGTGGCTGAGGTGCTAAAGTACAAGGGGCTGCCTGCTGCCTAGTGCCACAGTTTAGCATCCTCATGCCTCAGCTACCCTCTCCACCACCCGACACACCACCCAGAGCCCGGGGCTGGCTGCTCCCTGAACCGCCTGCCAGCCCAGGCTGCTCCACCCCAGTTCAAAGTGCTGCAGTCCTGGGTGCACGTGTGGATGCTACAATCAGGAGCAATTGACTCTGGTACAAATGGTGCCAGAGTTTATGGCTCTGCCTTAATTGCACATGCAGATACACCCGGGAAGTGTCTGAGTAACAGAGCTTTTCCTGACCTCAAACTATGCCTCTGGTGACTTTGCCTGATGCCCTGGTTTTCTGACTCAGCTTGCTTGTGGACTCTGGGCTCAGACAGAAGAGCATTTCCCTGCTGTAACTCATAGCACTTTTCAGGAAGTGTTCCGAATTACAACAATCCCCCGGACCAAACAAAAAGTTCAAGATTAGGTCTAGGGAGGAGAGAGGGTTGGGAAATCCAGCTGCTGGCTGCAAGCCTGCAGCCAGTTTCTCCCATCAATGGCCCCTCCTTCTTCCCAGTCCAGACATTGTTTTCAGAATGGGAGGGGGGAAAGGGAGCAGAGGGAGCTCATTCTAGGAGTTC